TGGATCTAGGGCGCTGGTTCTCAAAGTGTGTTTCATAGACTTCTGGGGGTTACTAATACCTTTTCAGGAGTTTTACAATCTCAAAAGTATGTTGACATTTACACAAATAGTACAAAAGCTTTAGCACAAGTCAACACCATGGCCTAGATTCTATAGCAGTCGTTATGATTTTCACTGCTATGCAATCATACGAGGAAAAAAGCCACTTTTATTTAAGAATGTCCTTAATGAAGCAGTAAAATTATTTATTATATTTTGACCCTTGAGTTCATGTCCTTTTAATGTTCCATGAATGACAATGGAAAGTGCACTTGAAACACTTTTACTGCGTACCAAAACAAGATAGCTGTCTAAATATTAAAAAGCAGTTATGTGATAATTTGAGTTGCAAGCTGAACTGACTGCTTTTATCCTGAAAGAACAACTGGTAAAGTATGGCTATTCAGATTTGTGTGTTTGTCAGACATTTTCTCAAAAACGAGTGAAATGAGCCTGTCGCTTCAAAGGGACAGTGTCACTTCAAATTATGTTATTAGCAACGACCACTGTCAGTGGTCGTTGCTAATAACATAATTTGTACTTTTAAGAAAATTAGAATTTTGGAAAACTTATATTTGCAATCATGAGCTTGAAAGCTTCTTGATTCTTAAAGGCCTTTTTCAATGACAGTAATGGGGTATTAACCAATAGGATTTTTAAATATGGATAAAGAAATGTGTCAGCATTGATTGGGTAGCTGCATAACTCAGGGAACCCAAATTTTCCAAGTGACCGATACAGGCTTTTTAGAAAGCATGNACACATTTCTGTGTGCCATTTATTTATTTATTTATTTATTTTATTATTAGTTTCATGTGTACAGAACAATGCGATAGCTATCCTTTACACCCCTCACAAAGTAACAACCTTCCTCCCCCCATCCACTACCATTCCACTCCCGATATCATACTTATCTATTACAATCCCATTGACTCCATTCTGTGGGCCTTTTATTTAGATGTTGATTGGATCTCAACCTGTAATTAATTAAACACCTATGCTAGGAACCATCCTGGACCAGAAAGGGAGGTAGAAGTCATGCATTCCACTGATCCTTTTCAAAGGCTTTTTAAATTCAATCCTGTCCATATTAATTATTCTTTGGTCCTCAATCAATAATAATTGTTTGCTAAATGCTGATAGTATTATGCTAGGATTTCTTAGGGATTTGAAAAACCAAAAGAAATAGCCCTTGATCTTAAAGATCTTTTACTTGTCTGAGAATACAAGGTATGCAAGGGGGTTAAAATAATAATAAAAGACCATATATCCTAAGTGCCAGTTAATTGATAGATCAATCAGTAGGTTAAGAGTTCAGAGCGTCTTGGTGTAAGAAGTTTGGATTTTATCCTGTGAACAGTGTGAAGGCTTTATAAAATTTTAAGTAGGTCTGATTTGATTAAATGACTTTTTAGGAAGTTTAGTAACAATAGGGTAGATTAAAGGTTCAGGAGAACTATTGGCCAGAACACTAGTGAGATTTAGAGGGAACAGAAGATTGAATTATGAGATTTTTGAATAGATATGAAATAAATACTGCATTTAACTAGAAGAATGATGATACCTTAAGGAGAAATAGGAACGTTATAATTTAGGGCCGGGGAGAAGTTCAGTTTTAAACTTGGTTCGTTTGAACTTACGTCAGGGGTTCCCAAGATCATTCCCAGGTTCGGTGATTCACTAGGAGGACTCACAGAACTCAGCATATAGTTGTACTCAGAGCTACGGACTTATAGTGAAAGGATTTAAAGCCCATCAGCAAAGAGGAAAAGTGCATGGGGTGAAGTCTGTAGAAACCAGCGCAGCGTCCAAGAGTATTCTCCCAGATATTACACTGGATGTGCTTAATTCTTCCAGCAAGGAATTGTGACAACACATCTGAAATGTTGTCTGCCAGAAAACTCGTTGGCGAGTCGGTGTCCAAGGTTTTTAATGGAAGCTGGTCACATAGGCAGTCTTTGCCTAGTACTTACGAAATTCCAGACTCTCAGAATGGAAGCAGATAGTCAGCATAAACTATATGAGGTTTGATAAAAAAATACGGAGAATGTTTAAATTTTAAAAAGTTTATTACAGTAAAAGACACACTGCCATTAATATCCCTCAAAATACTTCCCCTCGGTTTGAACACACTTATCTCATCATTCTTGCCACTTTCTGAAGCAGTTCTGGAAGTCCTTTATCGTGAGTGTCTTTAATTGTGCTGTTGTGGCTGCCT